GGCCAAATAGTTTAGCAGACCCCCATCTCCAATATTACCAGAGCTAAATGGACTGGAGGTATGGCTCAAGTGAGGCTGGTCTGCAAGCAAGATGCCCTCAATTTAAACCCTGGTACCACAAAAAAAAGAAAAAGAAAAGGGTATTTATAGTTTATAATTTACCCCTCCCACAAACAAGTTCATGGTTTACTGATAGCAGGTATGAAAACAGTGTTTCAAATGGGTAAGTGGGACTTGTATATGCAAATTTGCCAACCTCTGAACAGTGCCCCTGTGAAGGTCAAGGGGTCAATGAAAGCAGAGGAACAAGGGGGAGAGCTCATGTTTGATTAGTTGTCTCTATTTGAGTTTTTTTTTTTAGAAGGGGTTGGTAATTCTGGGACTTGAAGTCAGGACCACACACTTGGCTAGGCAGATGGTCCAGATATTTTGTCAGTCTGAGGTGGTGATTCTGTTTGCCATGGACTGAGAGTTTTGTTTTGGCATTCCCAGCATTCTTGTAGTCAATCTGTAACATGTTCATGAAGAAAATCTCTGAAGATCAGGTTTAAAGAAAGACTCATCAGGTGGTATCCTGGAGAAAGAGATTATGGAGGGGATGGATTCTTTAGGTTACAACCTTAAATTGACCTCAGGTGAGAGTTTGCCTCTGGCCAATAATAAGTAAAACACAGATCATTTCCAAAGTGATAGGAGGGGAAGCAGGAACTGGTAAGTCCCCAGAGTTAAATTATTCCATGTTCCTGCTTCAGCACCAGGAACTGATCCTCTGTGACTCTTCATTTGTGTGGTCAAAGTCTTGACTGTCAACTTTAGCAATGTAGGTTTTTATTTTGGTTTTGTTTTGTTTATTGTTTGTTTGTGGCACTGGGGTTTGACCTCAGCACATCACACTTGCTAGTCAGATGCTCTTACTGCTTGAACCACTCCTGCAGTCCTTTTTTCTGATGGCTGTTTTTGATATCAGGATTCCCAAACTATTTGCCAAGGACTGGCTTTGACCTTTAGTCGTCCTTATCTCTGCCTCTTGAGTAGCTAGGATTATAGGCACCTGGACTCCAATAATTTTTGTATAAAATTGAATGTCTCCATGTCTTAGGGCTCATTGTTTCCTCATGAATAAAGTCTCATTAGGCCCAAAGTACATTCCCTTCTTAAAATATTGAAGTTGGGTATGTCCCATTTCAATTTACAATTGTATTATTGCCCATTATAGATGGGACTACACTGCTCGCTCTCAGTAGGTGCTAGTTTGTTGGTACATCCTGTATTAAAGAGATTGCAATTTCTACTACTGTTCTTCCATGGCTACTCTACTATGAATCAATTTCATGTATACATGTCAGTTCATTGAAGATGCTTTTCCTTATCAGCGATATATTTGTTAATCTCTATATTAATGGTGCTGTGTGATGAATACCATACTTTCAATATCTTATATGAGGGACAGTAGCTCTCCTTTTCTTGGTCCAGAGGTTTTACTGTATTTGCAAAATTCAGGGAAGTAATTTTTGTTGACTAGTGAAAGGTTTGTTTTGGGGAATTCAGGAATATTATTGGTATGTGTGAGGAGTGAAATCTTGGTGACAATGAGCTGTTTCTTAGATCATATGCCATTTTTCTTTTTTCACTATTTTGACATTGCCAAATTAACAGTCTTCATGTACTTCCATTGCCTTAATGAATTATCCTTCATGAGTCTTATATTTAAGTTTGATCATAAAAACCAGCCAGGGGGATGACAGAGTAGCTCAAGTGGTAGAATGCATTTGTACCAATTATGAAGCCCTATGTTCAAATCCCGGTACTGCCAAAACAAGTAAAATCTGTAATAAAAGGATAATATACTAAAAAAAGTAACCAATTAGAAGTGTTGAAGTTTTGTTTTACTCCAATCACAGTGTGCGCACTGGACTTCCTCTGTAACGGGCTGTGACAAGAGGTGTGATGTTGTACCTGTCAGGTCAGCTCATTAGAGATTAGTCATCCAGAGTGTATTTTGGGGACTGATCAGTTAAGCTGCCTCTAATGATTATGTTAGAATGTTGTAAGCACTCTGAGAGACGTGCCAAGGGAATTACAGAAATAGAATATTGTTGGTGCTGGTGGCTAGTGACTGTAATCCCAGCTAGTCAGGAGGCAGAGATTAAGAGGGTCACAGTTAGAAGGCAGCTTGGCTAAATAGTCAAGTGACATTGTTTGTTTTCTTTTTTCTTGTTCCTTGTGGGAATGTGGTTTGAACTCAGGGCAACATTCCACCAACCCTAGTGATATTAATTGCCTTGTGCAAGCTCAGTTGAAGTTCATTGGTTGACAGAAATTATAGACCTACTCTTTAAGAAGTAATTGGGGTGATTCAGGAGCTACTGTTGTTGTTTTCACAACTATTTTCCAGCTAGAAGTAAAACTTCTGTGTGAGCGGGTGTGAGTTTGCATGAAGAGCAAGAGTTTAATGACCAAGACATGGAATGAACACTTTCTGAGCACAGCATGATGTGAATAGTTGTGACACATCATAATAATAGTTGTGTCATAATAGTTGTGACAGTATCTTCAGTACTGTCTATCTGAACTTCTCCTTGAAATACGCTTGTAATGTTTTAGGCATCTGTGACCTTTGATGACGTGTGTGTCAAGTTCACCCAGGAAGAGTGGGCTTTGCTGGATCCTTCACAACAGAAGCTGTACAGGGATGTGATGGTAGAAACCTTCAGGAACCTGGCCTCTGTTGGTAAGAATAACTTCACTCCCTTAGTCAATGAGAGAAACAGTGTTTGTTGCTCATCAGTGCTTTGGAATGATTCAAAATGTGGAAACCATAAGTTCAGAGGATATACCAGGTGTTGGCACACTATACCATAAGCCTACTTAGAATCTAGTAGATTTTCTATAGTAATATTATTCAAGATGTTTTCTTTTTCTGTCTCTATTTTATAAAAAATAACAAAAAGCCGAGGAAGATCAGACCATTGAAGAGGTGTACAAAAATTCCAGAAGAATTCTAAGGTAATTGGCACTCACAGGAGAAAGCAACTTAAACACTGAAGGAAAGGAATGTGAAACAGGTCATTTGAAGAGGAGGTCAGTAGTGAGAGGGGAGAGAGTAAATGAAGAGGGTAAAGCAGGGTATAGTTGATTTACCTTTATTGGTGTGTGGGGATTATGGTTTGAACTCTGCCCTTGGCACTGGCACGGCAAGCATACTAGCACTTGTGGCATATCTCCAGTCCATTTTGCTCTTGGTTTGTTGGATATGGGGTCTTGAGAAATGTTTGCCGTGGTGGACCTTGAGCCTGGATCCTCTCAGTCTCACTCTTCCTAATAGCAAGGATTACAGGAGTCAGCCACTCTCCTCACCATTTTGATGTATTTTCTGTACATGCATTTATATGGAACATTGAAACCTGTTGAAGTTTTTTTAAGGTGGGGAATTAGGTAGGAGGAAGAATAGTGGAGGGGATGAAACAAACTGGGATATAACATATGTACATAGGGAAATGTCATAATGAAATCCTGTGTATAAATATCATGTAGAAAATGTTAAAAAGGAAAAGAAAGAGACCAAGAAGTGTCACTTAAGAATCAAAGAGAAAGAAAAAAAAAAAAAGAATAATAAGAATCAAAAAGGACTATAGGTGTGTCCCAAGAGATAGAATGCATACATTGCAGGTGTGAAGCACTGAGTTCAAACCCCAGTCCACAAAAAAGAAGAATTAAAAGAGTCATTGTAAAATTGTATTGTTTCCCTCTGTTCTCAGGATTGAATCCTGGGCCTCCAGCTTGCTACACAGGTGCTCTGCCACTTGAGCCCCTCCAACAACCCAGAATAAAATGTTCCAAGAAGAAAACAATGTTGTGGGCTGGTAAACTGGCTGAAGTGACACAGTGTACTGCCAACCTAGCCAGAATAAGGGTTGGTTTTCAAACATCGTGCCTTGGGTTCAAACCTTATCCTTAACCAAAAAAACAAAACAACAACAAAAAACGAGCCAGGTGCTGATGACTGACACCTATAATCATAGATAATTGGGAGGCATAGATCAGGATGATCAAAGTTTGAAACCATATTCAGGCAAATAATTCTGGAAATCCTAACTAAAAAATTCCTAATATGTAGAAGGTTTGGCAGACTGGCGCAGATGGTAAGAGTACCATCCTAGCTACTATGAGGCCTTCAGTTTAAACACCAGTACCAAAAAAAAAAACCCCAAAGGAAATTCCCAGTCCAAAATATTTCCAGTATCAGAAATGGAGTAATAACATGATGCCCTAAGTGATAATTTCTCTTGTTTTAATGTACAAAAATGTTGTTTCATGCAATAAATTGTGAAAAATATTATGAACTTTCCTTCAGGGTGTGAATATATGGTGTGTTTGAAGAAAATGAATTCTGTGTTTGGGTTGGTGCCTATAATCTTCAGTATACCTTCTTAGCATTATGCAAATACTTCAAAATCTAAATGATTTTCGTCACACCTTTTTCCATGTACAATACTCAAATGTATTTGAATGTAATGTAGATAGTCAGTGTTTGCAAAATACTGGGATGAATTCTTTAGATACCTGTAACAATACCACTGCTTTGATAATATCTTCCCTGGAACCATGCAACATATTCAGAAATTTTTTCAGGCCATAAAACCATTACTTCTGGTAAGTATTTATTAAAACAGGTTAGTAATGTGGTTCTCTTTATTTCTAGAAATGAAGTGGTAGGGAGATTCTGTGCACACATAGAAGATACTCAGTTTGGAGAAGTCTTCAGCCATACTCCATATCATATTATGAGCAATAATACTCCTACTAGAATGGGATCAAATGAAAACTACATATGTAAAAAAATCTTCATCAGGCATCCATCCCTGAGTCTACCCTTCAGTACTCAGAGTGAACCTGAGCCACATGAGTATCAGGAATATGTAAAAACCCACAGTGGTGAGAAACCCTGTGTATGTAAGAAATGTGGGAAAGCTTTTAGTTCTTCCAGTTACCTCAAAATACATGAAGAAATTCACACTGGATTGAAATCTTATGAATGTAAACAGTGTGGGAAAGCCTTCTATTCATACAGTGGCCAAAGAAGACATGAACAAGTTCATTGTAGTGAGAATCCATATGTATGCAAGCAGTGTGGCAAAGCTTTCACTTCTTCCTGGTACCTGAAATTGCATGAAGGAATTCACATTGGAGCAAAACCTTATGCATGTAAACAATGTGGGAAAGCCTTCTATTGGTCCAGTGACCTTCGAAGACATGTAAAAACTCACAGTGGTGAGAAACCCTATGTATGCCAGCAATGTGGGAAAGCTTTTAGTTCTTCCAGTTACCTCAAAACACATGAAGGAATTCACACTGGATTGAAATCTTATGAATGTAAACAGTGTGGGAAAGCCTTCTATTCATGCAGTGGCCGTAGAAGACATGAACAAATTCATAGTAGTGAGAGACCATATGTATGCAAGCTGTGTGGCAAAGCTTTCATTTCTTCCTGGTACCTGAAATTACATGAAGGAATTCACATTGGAGCAAAACCTTATGCATGTAAACAATGTGGTAAAGCCTTCTATTGGTCCAGTGATCTTCGAAGACATGTGAAAACCCACAGTAGTGAGAAACCCTATGTATGTAAACAATGTGGAAAAGCTTTTAGTTCTTCCAGGTACCTCAAAATACATGAACGAATTCACACTGGAGAGATGATTTTTGCATGTAAGTAATGTGGAAAAGCCTTTACTTCATCCAGGTACTTCAAAATACATGAATGAATTCACACTGGAGTGAGTCCTTATGAATGCAAACAATGTAGGAAACCCTTCTATTCTTTCAGCAACCTTTGAAAACATACACAAACTCACCCTGGGGCAAAACTTATGTAAGTTACCAGTGTGGGAAAGCCTACTTTAGTTGAGTGTCCTTGAAAGACATGAACCAAGTCACAGTCAATGAAAGTACTTTATATGTAAGCCATGTGGGAAGGCCTTCTTTTCCTTACATGTTGTTAAAATGTATGAACACAGTACCACCAAAAGAAAAAAATGAAAAAAAAGATTACAGTATGATACAATTTACTCAAACTGTATCAGCTATATCTACATGTGTAATATGTAAATGTACCAATTAAAAGAAAGTGATAGCATTAATTTGAAAATAAGCAACTTTGTATACCATTTATGAAAAATCATTGTACATATGAAGACATGAGTTAAAGACAAAATATCAGATGTGGAGGAGGCACAAGTTGAACTGAACTTTTATCAAATATGGTGACAGCACTTAATTACAATATTCAAGAAAATCACTAAAGAATTAGAATTTCAGTGTTTTAATCACAATGAAATTATAGGGATATGAAGTACTATATTTAGAGGGTAGTCTGATTTCACCATGCTGTAATATACATATATTTCAAAACATTTTACATTATTAATTTTTTACCCTATATGTATATTAAAAGTAAAAATGATAAAATAGTCTCAGAAATAAACCCAGACTCATAGACTCTTCTTATCTTTGACAAAGGTGCCAAAAATATTCTAGAAAGACAGTGTTGGAAAACTGGAAATTTATATGTAGAATTCTGCAGCTAGATACTTGTCTTCTGGTACCAATATGAATTCAAAATACCTCAAGCCACTATCTGCATATATAAAACAATCACAGTGAAATCTCTTTGTATTGTGAGTGTGTGCTAGTTCAAAATTAAAATTAACAAACACACACTAGAGGAGAATAGGCCATTCTGAGAGGACTAGTCATGTAATGTAGAGAGAAAATAAGGACAGTCAATCCCTTGCATGGGTACAATCACTTATTTGTACAAGTTGGTCAAGGCTGTGACTTTTAGCACTGATTCCTTGTCAGACATAGATATTTGGGCTACAGATATCCTGTTTCTGGGCTTACAACTCACTTTTTGAGCTTGTATAATATAATTTCTAAAGGCTGGCAGAGTGGATCATAGGGTAACAGTGCCAGCCTAACAAGAGTGAAGGCCCTGAGTTGAAGCCCCAGTGCTGCTCCAACCCCAAAAACATAGTAATACCATTAATTCCAAAGATCACATCAGAACAGAAGTAGCAAATACTGGTTTATTGTACATTCAAATAAGTAATTAAAATATTATTATAATTGATATCTGGGCACCATTGGGATCACTTTTAATCCTGGCTGTTTGAAAGCAGAGACCAGGAAGAACAGAGTTTGAAGCCAGTGAGGGCAAATAGCTCTGAGAAACTATCTTGAAAATACTCAATACCATTCAGTGCCTATGAAGTGGCTCAAGTAGTAGAAGGTCTTTCTAGCAAGTTGGGGTTCCCGAGTTCAAACACCAGTAGTGCCAAAAAATCCCAATAACAATAGAACTGCTATGTGCTTGCCTCTGCTGTACTTTTCCTGGGCATACACGGGAAGGAATGTAATGCCTGTGTGTATTGCAGCACTATTGACAATGAGCAAGCTATGGAATTAGCCTCCATGCCAAACAACCAATGTAACAATATGAAAATGCAATATATATATTAATATTATACACCCATAAAGAAAAAATGGGATTATAATTTGCAGGAAAATGGACAGAGCCAAAGATCTTCATGTTAAGCAAAATGAACAAGTCTCAGAAAGAAAAATGCTGCATGTTTTATATAATATGCATAATCTAAAGCTTTTACAAGAATGTGCAAGTGGGACTTTTGAGGTGGAATTCACTGGGAAAGGGATAGAAAATACCGATATCATGAAAGGATGAGTGTGAAGGGGAGCATTATATGGATCCATTAAAATAGTGCAATGAAGCCCATTAATCTAAAAGGCAGGGAGGAAGGAACACGATGAGAAGAAAAAGTAATGGGATGAAACTTACGAAAGTACATTATGGGATTGTATGGTAATAGCACAGTGAAAGCTCTTTGTACAGTAACGTATGCTAGTAAACACATGTCAAAACTCAAGTGGAAATCCACAAAATATGTATAGATGATATATTTTAATTATAAACCAAAAAGAAGGAGAAAAGAATCCAACTTGGTCCTAGAGGAGTGACGCAAGCAATATAGCCATGGGTAGCAGCAGGAAGAAAATGTAATTCATTTCTTACAGCTAAATTAGTACCCAGTTCATTTATGGTAGCACATTTTTCCCGAGGCAGACACTTTACCACTTGAGCCATTCCTCCAGAACCACAAACTTCATAAAAGTAGTGATTGGAAAGGACAGCAGAAGATGCTAAGACACATGGTAAGAAGCCTAGTCTGGAAATTCCAGACTGTTTTGGTTAAATGCAATTCTACCCAAGACTGGGCCAGGTTCACTCAAGGGGAGGAAGCCTGGGCTACAGGGAGCAATAAGTGTAACCTGTCCAGGAAGCAACCTATAAACTCATTTGCGACTGTCCCTCAGAAAACCCTTATAGGACACAAATGAGATGACTGGAATACGCAGAAAATCTGGATGAACATAAGAGATGTGGGCAAAATCTTAGGTCTCGCAAATGCCTTCAGAAGCATGACATGGCTGTCACTGTAAAGAGACTTAACAATATACGGCGACTATGCCTTTGGGTGTCACAGTTCTAGTCAGATACACAAGTGGGAAGAGAAACCACAGTAAAGTAAACAGTGTGGAAAAGCCTCTAGTACTTCTTGTTATGTGAAATACACGAAAGACCACATTGGGGAGACAACTTATGTATGTAAGCACTGGGGAAAAGCCATCTTGTCTTTGACTCATGTTCAAAACCTGAACATATTCATAGGGCAGAAAAACTAAGTAATGTGAGAAAATCTTCATTTCTTTAATTGACATTTGAGTACAAATATGATGTCACAGTGGAGAGAAGCACTTTGTATTCAAGCAATATGGAAAACCTTTATTTGACACAATAACCTTTGAAGACATGAATGAATACACACAGGTGAGAAAATGTAAATGCAAACAATGTGGAAAATCCTTCATTTGTTCTGATTCCCTTAAGAGGCATGGGTGGACCCATTCAGGAGACATTTACTAAATACAGAATGTGGAAAGGCCCCATTATCACATGAACTCTCTAGCAGATATAACACTGGATAAGAAAGGGAAGTAGCTACCTACCATGTAAACTGGGAATGCCTCTAATCATTTGTGTTAAGTTGAAGAATATAAAATAGCATATTGTGCTGAGAAATCCTCACTGGGAGAGATGTTACAAAGTCTTCATGTAAGAACACACCCAAGATCAAAACCTTTTAAATATAAAAAAGACAGCAAAGTTGTCATTTAAAATAAATACTGTGTCTTCCTGTTGTGACAGGAAAGTAACCACAAAATGCTCACAGATACCAGGTACTAGTGACTTGCTCTTGTAATCCTAGCTACTCAAGAGGCAGAGATCAGGAGGATAGCAGTTCCATGCCAGCCCAATCAAATAATTCAAGTGATGTCATCTCAAAAGTTCCATTAAAAAATGGCTGGCAGAGTTGCTCTTGTGGTAGAGAGTAGAGTGCCTGCCTAACAAGCCAGAGGCCAGAATTTAAATCCTAGTACTATCCAAAAAATTCTCAAAGGTATAATTTTACCTTAATTACTAATGACGACCCAACCTTGCTTACTGATTCAAGTTTATCCTGTCCTGTTTTTGTTCTCTTCCATACCACCATGCTCTTCATCTCTGTCACTGGAAGGAGAGATGGAGCTTTTGGGAAGTAGACGTGCAGCTTCTGAGATGTCCCAGTAAGTCAGGAAAGACACAGAAGGCCAAAACAAGTTTCCATTCTTAAAACCATTTTGAGTGATGGATCTTTCCTTTGTATGGGCAGATTCTGCTTCCCAGACACATATTCTGTATTGTTCATTAATAGCTTGTTGAATGTGTTGGGAGGTGGGGAGGTTTTTTTTTATGATACTGGTTTTGAGTTCACATCCTTGGTTGGTAGACACACCTACTTCTTGAGCCACTCTGCAGCCTTTTTTGTGTGTTGGTTCTTTTTGTTTTGTTTTGTTTTTTTTAAATAGAGTCTCCTGAACTATTTGCATGGGTCTGGCTTCTCACCAGTTTCCTCTTTTGGGCAGTATTGAAGTGATGAGGTCTGGGCCTCAAGGATGAATGCCCCTCTTTATAGGTCCTGGTGTAATGAGCTTCAGTTGTGTTACCCAATCGCATTCTGATGGGAGGATTCGCCATGAAGACCTTCAAGAAGTCCTGGTGCCATGTCCCTGGACTTTCCAATTCTGAAAATTGAAGGAACACATTTCTACAGTTTCCTTTTTTTTTCTTTTCTCCTTATATTTTATCATTTTTACATTTACTTACATATGTACACATTGATGGTACCTGCAGGCTTTCTTTTGGTTCCTGAGATGCACATATCTGTTAGAAACCTCCTGTTAACTACAGGCCAGCCCAAGAGCCTCTGCTCTCCCTTGGCCTACTTCAAACATAGACTTGTGCCTCATTTCTCCTAACTGAGATGTAAACTTAAGACTCTTGATGATCTGTCAGCGTAGGGTATAGATGTAAACAATCTTAGCTAAAAGCTCAGGAATAGCTAAAGAAATTGAACCCATCAGCATTCCAGCAAGCCAATATTCTCATGTGTAGACATGACTCATCAGTAGCTGGAAGTTCACAAAGTTGATTCTTAACAAATGGTTCGTGGTCCCACTTTACCCAGTGGGGATCTCCTTTGGGCAGATAATGACATCAAAACATAAATGATTTCTTTAATTCTTAAGGATGAATATCATGCCATTTCTCCAACTTTCATTCTTACAT